TATATATATATATATTGCCTCGTTTATTTATTTCAGAATTTATTTCATAGGCGTATTTATTTAATTATTTATGTATTTATTTAATTATTTTCGTATTTATTTTGAGATTTTTATATTTTACAATAGTTTATTTCTGCTCTTTTAGTTAGTTATTATGTTATTATGTGCAGCCTTGGTTTGTTTTAAACTGCTGTAACTAAAATGTCCCAAATTGGGATCAATGAAGTACATGTTATCCTATTAGGAGTTAGAACATTACACATTCATTTCAAACCAGCAGAAGTGTATATTTCCTCTCATTTATGTCATTATTGAAGATTTTTAAAGTTCCTTATTACCTCGATTATCATTATTATTTATTTTTTTAAGCCGTATTAACACGAGCGACCTTAGCAGTGCTGAGGATTCCCACAGTCCCTGAACGCACCATGCCGGAACTCCCTGTTGTTTTCCGGTCTGAGATTCTTATTTAACTTTAGGAACATTTGGACCTCAGGAGTTTCAGTACATATAATATAAATATAATAATATACACATATACATATATACATATTTAAACTGCATTTAAACAGTTAAACAGGATGAACGCGATGCAGCTGCTGAACAGGGTCCGAGTGCGCGGTGAGTACAAGTACTAATACACACTCTAATACACACTGTACACACACTGTACACACACTCTGTTACAGTACAAGTACTAATACACACTGTACACACACTCTGTTACACTACAAGTACTAATACACACTGTATGTACTGTATTAAAGTTAAAGTACTAATACACAATGTATACACACTGTATTAAAGTTAAAGTGCTAATACACACTGTATACATACTGAGTTTTAGTGTTACTGTAATGATGATTAATGAACTCCGTAAAAACTGCAATTCTGTCGTAACACTAACAGAATATTATGTGTGTGTGTGTGTGTGTGTGTGTGTGTGTGTGTGTGTGTGTATGTATGTTTGTGTGTGTGTGTTGGGGGGGGCAGGCAGCTGTCATCGTGGTGGATTCATGGAAGAAACTGAATCACATGCACAGTCCTCAGGATACAGACGCCTCATTTAACACAAATGACATGCTTATTAGTGTGAATGCTTCCAGCATTCCACTATAGTTCTTCAAATCTTTATTAGTGCGAATGCTGTCTACAGCATTCCACTATAGTTCTTCGATTCTTTATTCTTCCCCTTATTAGTGCGAATGCTGTTTACAGCATTCCACTATAGTACCTCGATTCTTTATTCTTCCCCTTATTAGTGTGAATGCTGTTTACAGCATTCCACTATAGTACTTCAAATCTTTATTCTTCCCTTTATTATTATTATTATTAGTGCGAATGCTGTTTACAGCATTCCACTATAGTACTTCAAATCGTTATTCTTCCCCTTATTAGTGCGA